TTCTGAATCACTGAAAATTGTTCTGAGGATTTCTTCTTGCCTAAAGCCAGCAGCACAAAATGTGCAAGAATTGATATATCCCTTCATTCTGTGTTAGGAGTCACTGTAGTGAAAGATTAGGATGCGTCTCCAAAGTATTAAAGTATATTTTTGATAGGAGCAATAGCTGTTAAGTCCTAGCTCATCAGAATCTCCTAGCAGAATGATGACTTGGCAAAGGTTTAGGAAAAGAAGACTGTTGACACAGTAGATTAATAAATTTGTTTGCTTACCCCCAGTCTCCCCTCAAATAATATCTATTTAAGGTTTAATGAAGTTGGATTATACTTTTACACTCCCAGGGTTATTCGCTTCTGTAATATTTGTATTCTAGTAGGGTGGATAAGTAACTGAATGTGAGAGGGTAAAGAGAGAACTTTCTCTTAACTATTGCCTATCTGTTTCAAAAAATGGGATTTTTGCTTTGAGTAACAAAGACAGCAGAGCATTCATTTGTATTCTGTCCAATCGATATGCCTACATTTCCACTGATTCAACTTTGTGCATTTTAATAGTCAAATTCTGCAGAATGTTATCATGAATTATAGCTAAAAGAGTTATGTGATATACATCTCACACAGCATGGGTTGGATCCATCCTGCTTTACACCACTAAGTGCAAATTGCTTACTGGCAGTACTTGCATGAGACTTGAATGCACTTTCCTTTTGGCAGCAGAAAACACAGTGATATGTATTATCACAGTGTTGAATAAAAATTTAATTTAGCCCAACCAATTTGCACATTATACTGGCATACAATAAACACAGGATAATGTAGGTTGGAAGGGAGATCAGAAGGTCTCAATTCCAACCTTCTTCTTGAAAGACAGATAGCTATAACATAAACTGGGTTGCTGTGTGGTCTTTAAAACCTCCAAGAATGGAGGATGCACAACCTCTCTCTCTGGGAAATCCAATCTGTTGCTTTACTGTCCTAGAAGTGAAAAAGTTTTTCCTTAAATCCAGTCTGAAATTCTCTGCTTGTTGTCTTCATACCATGCACCAGTGTGAAGCGCATGTCACTGCTCTCCTTATAAACTCCCTGCAGGTATTTGCAGGCTGTTACTAGCACCCTGCTCCCCGCAAAGCCCTTCCTCCCACTCAGCTTCTCCTAGGGCATGGTGCTCCAGCCTCCAACAGAAGGAGACTCTCCACTGAATTTGCTCTGTGTTATCAATGTCCTTCTTGTAGTGGGGGAGGCCAAAACTGGGGAACAGCCTCCTCCCCTGATCTACAGGCTATGTTTCTGTTAATCAAGCCCAAGATGCTATTGGCCGTCTGCAGTGACAGCATGTTCTTGGCATATGTTCAGCTGCCTACCAAAGTCTCCAGGTCTTGCCACAGGGCTGTTTCCTAGACAGTCAGTCCTCAGCCACAATCAGTGCATAGAGTTGGTCTTTCCCAGATTTAGGACTTTGTATTTGCAGCTACTGAATTTCATGAGGTTCTTGCTAGCCCATCCCTTCAGCATGTCTAAGTCCTTTGGATGGCACCACTGTCCTCCAGTGTAACTCCAGTGTAACTCCAGTGTAACTCCTGGTACCGGTGTCACTTGCACACTGCCATCTTTTGCCTCCTCCAGGTCATTGATTTAAAAATGTTTATGAGGACAGGATTTGGCTCCTCATCACTACTATATATCCCATACATGCTTGACCACCTTTTCAATGAAGAAATTTTTTCTTATATCCAGTATAAACCTCCCCTGGCTGGAGGTCATTTCTTCTTGTCCTACCGCTTTTTACTTGGAAGAAGAGACTGAACATCACCTGGCAACTTCCTGTCAGGCAGTTGTAAAGAGAAATAAGGTCTCCTTTGACCCTCCTTTTCTTTCTTTTCCAGGCTAAAAAAAAAAACCATCTCCCTCAGTCACTCCTCACAGGACATGTGCTCCAGGTCCTTCACCAGCTTCATACTCTCCACAGGCTTCAGCACCTCAATGTCATTCTTGTAGTGAGGGGCCCAAAACTGAATATAGGTTTCAAGGTGCATCCTCACCAGTGCTGAGTACAGGGATAAGATCACACCCTGGTCCTGCTGGCCATACTATTTCTGATACAGGCCAGGATGCCATTGGCCTTCTTGGCCACTTGAGAACACTGTTCAGCTGGCTGTTGACCAGCACCCCCAAGTCCTTTTCTGCTCAGCAGTTTGTGTTCCTTTGGCTTTTTTTTGAAGATGGAGGATTTGGGTAAAAAAATAACTCAAAATGTAATGTACCACCACTTTTAATAATGCAAATAAATTAAATCAGGAAAGACACAATAACAACAATGTTTTTCAGACTGGTAGTAACTGTCATCCCACTCTGTCACCTCTCCCAAACATACACATGCTTTATGGTCTTAGGATCTTGGGTTAGATGACATTGTATATGGGAGTAAAGCTGGGCACTGGAGATTTTCAACGTGGTCTGTTTCCAAAGTTATTGTTTATTTTCAAAATTAAGGCAGCTGCCTTTTAATTTCTGTTGTTTACAGAAGCAGTGGTATTTTTCTCAATAATCTTTTACTATATGCAGTTTAGGATGAAAACTCCATGCTAACTGCTCCACAGCTTCTACACAAGGGCTCTGGAGAACTAAGATGCTTCACAATTAATAAAATAATGAAATTAAAATTATGATCTGCACCCCAAAGAACGTAAAATACTGCCTTCATCCTCAAATTATAGCATTTTAAATAAATTACACTACGTAATTTGGTGCATTTTGGGATTTTTTAAGCTACTCTTATATACTGTGTGGTGTTTGAATATAAACATGTGCGGTAATTTCAAAATCTAGCAAAAAGTAATTCTTAAAAAAAGTGAATCTTAATATTTCTTGGAAAATAAGGCTTAGTACTTAAACTCAGTTGGGAGGGAGTGGAGTAGAAGGAATGTTAACAAAATCCACTGTGATTCAGTGAAATAGATGTGAAATAGAACTCATTATGTCAAGAAAACTTCAGGAATAGAATGAGAGTTTTATCATATGATTTCTCACACTTATAAAACATACACCGTCCAAATACAGCAAAGCATATGCTGAAGTAAGACTAAAGATCCAGCTAGGTATCCTGCTTCCAAGAATGTCCAAAACCAGAGGTACAGAGAACAAAATTGAAAGGCAAGAATACATCATAAGGAGTATAAGCACAATATCTTTTTTAGCAGCATGAAAAGTACACAGGTGCATAAAAAGAACAGCCTCTCCTGAAACATTTATTAGTGAACCATGAAGCGTAAAGTTTTAGATCCTCACTTTCTGAATCAAACGTAAAATGTAAAAAACTAAGGGAAACTGAAAACTTGCAGTGGTGGATTGGGAAAAGGGGTTCCAGGACCTGGGGTTTTTAGCCCATTACCTGGTGGGGAAAATGCTCCCTCCCTCTTTCCACTACGTGGTCCCAGGAGCCTGACAAGACTCATATGGAAACCAGCAGAGGAGAGTGAGAGAGAGCAATTTATTTTATGGGTAGGGATATATATAGGTTTTGGGGGGATTACAAAATAACCAATTAAAAGTTCAGAGGGTCTTGCAGAATCACCAATAGCAAGAAAGGGTTAACAACCAATAGAAAAGAGTAGATAAAGGCCAAGGAGAAAACTTCCTGATATCTCCTGAGGACATTCCTGAATAGAGATTATGCTGCAAGGCAGATTTTCAGAAGAAGCAAGTGAGTTAGTAAAAAAAAAAAAAAAAAAAAAAAAAAAAAAAAAACCACAAAAAGCCATTTTGGAACATGTTCACTTAAACAACATTAAAAACTTCTGTTTTTAAGACATTTGGGCTGGTTTCTTCATTTTCTTCACAAGTCCATTTCTGGCAGGACTTTTTCCATTCTATATATTGCAGGTCCATTGCCACAAAAACTGAAGACAATCAGAATTATGAAAAAAGACATTATTCTTTGTGCCATCTTTTTAATAAAATATCCCACAATGCAGTGGTAGTCAGTCTCTATAAAACCAATTCAGCACATGTTTCTGTAATTCAGTTTCTGTCAGGAGACCTCTACGATACAAACAACATTTAGTATTGGTATGATTTCATTTAAAATGCTATGATTTACCACCCAGCAGGCTCTTTTGACTAGAACTGGTCAAATCCAAGCATAGATTCAACCTATCAAAAGCCTAGCTTTCAAGGAGCACAATGAGATAAACTATGAACATAAACAAACCATTACTTTGATGAGCTATTCCCTATTAAATGTGCACAGGACTAAGTATTTAAGAACTACCTTAAATTTTATGACATGAGTCTGTAAACTTGTTAGTTCAACCTAGTATTTCAGTCTTGGTAGGGGACATCTTTGTTCTACAAAAACAGTTCTCCAAAATATTACTTGTTTTTAAGAAGCTTGAAATTTTGAAGCAAGAGGCAATAGTTCTAACCGAGGCAACTTTAGGTCCAGGATTCTTTTTCTTTTACTCCCAAGTCTGCATATAGATGGGCAAATAATAAGGCAGGGTGTAAATTTGCATAATGAATGTCTTAAAAATGAGACAAAAGGAAAGGTAATAAAATATATGTGAGAAGAAAACTCAGAAATAGCAATAGGAGTTGCTGTATTTGCGATTTATAAAGTTACTTCTATATCAGAGGACCCTAAACCATCTTATCTTAGGCCCTTAACTTTGTAACCTTAACTACATAAACAGAATAAAAGACAGAAACTTGAGAAGTGTCCTCTGTAGAATTCCCTACTGTTCTTTCCCTCAAGAGCATGTAGGCTTCACACCTTCAAAGGAGAATAGGAAACTGACACCAAAATTTGAGTTCGCAATATAACACATTGTAAACAGCTAAATTCTTCTATCTAAAAAACGTATAAAATAAACAGGTAGTTGCTGTCAAAGAGGAAAAGGTGATTTTCAAGGTGCTCTACACATATTTCATAACTAATTCACAGAACATTAAAGCTCAAAGACTTCATAAACTTTTGCAGTTATTACAGAAACTTAGAGTTCATACCTGTAGCGAGATAGATGATATGGAAAAGCATGTCCTTGCCCTGCACAACATCCACGACCACATGGGAAAATCGGCTGTTGTCTTCCATGAAGTAAGGAATTGGAATAACTGGCTGGATAACCTCATGCATTAAGAAGAATTTTTGAGCATCTTGAAGATTTCTCTCAGTCAGATTTGCATACAAACCCTGGTCCATGGTGCCACACTGTAAACAGAGAAAACTAACGTTACTATATGTGGCAACGAAAACAATGGATTTACTCCCTGATTTACAGCACAAGACAATAAAAAACAAGGGTAAATCTTGAAGTGTGGAATTTGACCTTCAGGTCGCATTGTGGTGCTAACCAGACTGTCCAGCAA